GGGGGTGCGGAGTCTGAGGGTACTAGACCTGCTCGTGTGGCGTCTAGCGGTGCTGGGCCTGGAGGTTCTTCGGGTGCTTCGTCCCGGCAGGATCGACTCTCTCCACAGGAACTGCGTGAGTGGTTTGCCCGTCGCTGGAGGCGAGCGGTTGAAGTTGGAGGTGCTGCGGGTGTTGGAGGTTCTCCTGCTGCTGAGGGTGCTGGTGCCGCCGGTCCCGGAGGTGCTCTTACCGGGAGTTCTGGAGCTGCTGGGCCTGCAGGTGCTTCTCGTACTGGAGCTGGTGGTGCTGCGAGCGTCCGTGCTACTGAGGGTGCTGGAGCTGGACCCGTTGCGTCTTCTGGTGGTCCGGCTGGAGCTGGAGCTGCTGAGGGTGTTGGCGTTGAGGGTGCCTCTGGTGCTGGTGCCTCTAAGGGTATTGGAGTTGGCGCTGCTGGAGCTGGGGGTGCTGCTGGCGCTGGTGCTGTCGTTCGGGGTGCTGGTGCTGTCCCTTCTGGTGCTGGTGGTTCTTAGCTGCCGCGGCCGTACTTCGTTCCGCTCCTTGAGCAAGTTCTTGGTCTTCCGCCCTTTGCTAGTCCGACTCCTCCCGTAGAGTGTCCATCGCCTGTCCAGTCCGACTCACAGCTACAGCCTACCTCTCCTCTGCCTGCTCCTTCTCCCTCCTTGGCACGGACGTCCTTGAGGGCAGGCAGGAGGAGCTCCAGTGCTTTGCTGCTGCTTCACCTCATCTCGTGTCCATGCTGCTTGCCCCTGAGGGAGACCCGGATGCACCAGACATCCCGACTCCGCGCTCTTACGCGGAGGCGATAGAGGGTCCCTACTCCTCTCAGTGGTGGGCAGCCATGGATGCAGAGATGGCTTCCTGGAAGTCCACAGGCACCTACATCGACGAGGTTCCCCCTCCTGGGGCGAACATCGTCAGTGGCATGTGGATTTTCAGGGTGAAGCGGCCGCCGGGTTTTCCGCCTGTCTTCAAGGCGCGCTACGTGGCTCGTGGCTTCAGTCAGCGGCAGGGAGTTGACTACTTTCAGACCTTCTCTCCCACCCCGAAGATGACCACTCTTCAGATACAGCTGCTCATAGCCGCTCACCGTGACTACGAGCTTCACTCTTTCCACTTCAGCACTGCTTTCTTGCAGGGCAGCCCGCACGAGGAGATCTGGCTGCTCCGCCCACCTGGCTTCACTGGGTCTTTTCCTCCTGGTACCCAGTGGAGCCTCCGGCGGCCAGTATACGGTCTCCGCCAGGCACCTCATGAGTGGCACGACACACTGAGGGCTACACTTGCGGCTCTTGGGTTTGCTCCTTCTACTGCCGACCCGTCGCTGTTTCTGCACACCGACACTTCTTTGCCGCCATTCTACATCCTCGTGTATGTCGACGACTTGGTCTTTGCCACAGCTGACACTACTGGACTCGCCCACGTGAATTCCGAACTGTAGAAGAGACACACGTGCACAGACCTGGGTGAACTGCGCAGCTACCTTGGCTTGGAGATCACCCGGGACTAAGCACAGCGCACCATTACCCTGACTCAGTCACACATGGTGCAGCAGGTCCTTCAGCGCTTCGGCTTCACGTACTCCTCGCCTCAGGCCACTCCTCTGTCTACTCGCCACTCGCTCTTAGCTCTGCCTTCGAATGAGTTCGTAGAGTCGAGTGGCCCGTACCCAGAGCTTGTTGGCTGCCTCATGTACCTGATGACCTGCACTCGACCTGACCTTGCATACCCTCTTAGCATTCTCGCACGCTATGTTTCTCCTGGGAGACACAGACCAGAGCACATGGCTGCAGCAAAGAGGGTGTTGCACTACTTGTGCAGTATGTCGGGCATGGGGCTTGTGCTTGGAGGGCGGAGTCTAGTGGTCCTCACTGGTCACGCAGACGCTTCTTGGGCTGACGACCAGGCTACGCAGTGGTCGTCACAGGGTTACACCTTCAGCCTTGGTTCCGGCTCTGTTTTGTGGCGATCTACCCGCTCGTCCTTCTGTTCTCGGCTCCAGTTGTGAGCCTGAGATCTACGCAGGGGCCATGGCTGCATAGGAGCTACGCTGGCTCACCTACCTGCTGACCGACCTAGGAGAGCCGCCTCGTTCTCCTCCAGTTCTGTACGTTGACAACAAGGCTATGCTGGCCTTGTGTCGAGAGCACAGACTGGAGCACAGAACGAAGCACATCGCTCTTCGCTACTTCGTTGCTAGTGAGCTGCAGCAGTGCGGTCAGCTGCGTCTTGCTTATGTGGCCTGTGAGGCCAACAATGATGATATCTTCACCAAGGCACTTACGCCTTTTGACCATCAGCGCTTCCGTACTCTGTTAGGTCTTGTACCTACCTTGCCTCACTTGCTCACTTCTTGACCTTGCTTGTACTGTTACATATATATATACCTGCTCTTCCTTGTTTAGCGTTATATATATGTGTGTAATCATGCATGTGAGCTGGCCTTGTGGCCTTGAACTTGTGCTCAGAATGTGTGGTGACGTTGTGATCCACCCTGAGCTTGCTTTGCCTTGCTTTGCTTGACGTGTCTTGTGACCCCTTGTTCTCCCCCACTTTGCCTATGGGGGTGTGTCAAACTTATATGATCTAGCCTGTGTAGGCTGTAGCGGGTTAGATACTAAGGGGTACACAATTCTAGGGTTTCATATTTGTATCACTTTCATTCCTTAGTCAATTCATTATCGTTCTAAGTTTCTCATGTTCGACCCCGACACACGATGCAGCACGAATTCGGCTCGCAGCGACACTGTTACGGGGACCAGCATTAGAGTGGATTTATTACACTGACGTGGTCCGTGGGGAGAAATCGTGGGCGCAGTTTCGGGCAGACCTCATCGAACGTTTCGAGCCAATTAATACAGCCTACATGGCATAGCAACAGATACACTAACACAAGCAATACGGGAGTGTAGCAGAGTACACCAGCAGATGGAGCAGCTGTTCAACCGCATTACTGACCTGACCAAATGCGAAAAAATCCAGGCGTACACAGAAGGGTTAAAATTGGAGATTTGCCGACAGGTAATTGCAGCAAACTACAACAGTTACCGCGACATCGTGCGTGCTGCCGAGCGATACGATGCATTGACTCGAGGTCAAACCGAAACACGACGTTACGGGCCGAACCGTACATTCGGCACGGAGCGATCGGCACCCCCCACGTTCGCCGAACCGATGGATATCGACAAATTTGACGCGAAGCAGCAACCGACAAAATGCGATTTTTGGGGCGCAGCAGGGCATCAAATTTTTTCGTGCTACAAATTGAAGAAGGCACTTGCGGCACTGCTGGGCGGCAATAGTGGAGCACCCACGAAGTAAAAAAACGGGAATCGCCAGCAGTCGCGGATCGACCTGGCGATCGCGTAAAGATCTGAAAAGCGAAAAAAGACAACGACGTGGAGACTTCGGAACGGGTGAAAAAAGGAGAACATGATGGCGCGAATATAAAACGTCACGACCGGCCGGCACCTGGGGAAATCGCTAAGGCAAATGGAGGCTCCGCGAAGAAAGACTCTACACCGACCGGGAAACTCTAGCCGAACAACTACGAAAGTAAGAATTCGTAAAAAGTATCCTGGAACGATACTCTAACAAAAAACATTGCTTATCGTGCTTTTCAAGCCTTTGTAAAATTCAGGGAGGATTTAAAGGCCAAGAAAAAGCCTTTAGATATTATTTAGGTACCTGAGAAGTTGGGCAAAGTACTATGGAGTGTAGAAAAGGGTCATGGGTTCCGAAGAGTTAATCTTCTCTCCCCGCAACCCAGTGTTAAGGCTCCCCGTTGCCCACAGTTGAAGCCTACACAGCTGCAAAGGCTTAGCGGAAAATTCCAGGCTCATGAGAAGTTGTACAAGCCTTGGAAAAATCCTCCTACCCCCCAAGTGAAGTTGGAAATAGGGTTGGTAATATCTTTGATGTACCCTATGATCCAAATAATGAGACCCTCTTTGGCTACTCAGCACAACAGGAACTACTACTCCTCGAGGTGTTATGCAAAGGACGTCGCCTCCAGGCTCTAGTGGACAGCGGTGCATCTCACTCAGTGTGTGAACGCGGGACGTTGGAGAAAATTGGGGAACCTTTCGAGAAGACCAAGTTCGCAGCAACGATGGTGGTCGGTACGAAACTTCCCATATGCAGCTGCACATAGGGACGCTGAGATAGAAGCCGACGTTGCCGATCACGAATATCAAAGGTCAAGATTTCATCTTGGGGCGAGATTTCCTGAAGCGGTTCAACTCCGAGATTGACTGGGTCAACAGGAAGGCGTGCATCTACATCAACGGGAAACGAGTGGAGCAGCGAAGCTGGACGGATACAAGGAGCGTTTCAGAAACGACACTGGCACGGTTCGTATATACGGTGAACGAGAGTAACACGGGTTACCTAGCACTGGTTATGGCAGCAACAGAAGAGGAGAAGCTGAACACAGCGCTACCTGCAGCAGTGAAGGAGGTCGTGGAGCAGTACAAGGATATAATGCCCGATGGCCTACCCGCAGGCATACCTCCACCACGCACCCACGAGCACAAGATCATGTAAGAACCAGGTGTGAAACCTGCCTAACGAGCACCATACCGACTGAGTCCGACCGAAATAACAGACATGAAGAAATAGATAGAGTATCTACTGGACAGACAATCGATCCGCCCATCCACCTCTCCCTACGGTGCACCAGCTCTCTTCACTCCAAAACCAGACGGCAGTTTATGGGTGTGCATCGACTACCGCGCACTGAACAAACAGACAGCTAAAAACAAATACCCCATACCATGAATAGACGACTTACTGGACCAACGGCGTGGTGCAACAACCTTTTCGAAGCTGGACCTGCGGTCCGGTTACTGGCAGATCAAGATGGCGGACAACTTGATCCACAAGACGGCGTTCCATACCAGATACGGCTCCTACGAATACTTGGTGATGCCGTTCGGAATCTGCAATGCACTGTCGAACTATATATGCTATAGTCTGTTTAGGTTGTAGTGGGGTAGTCAATATGGGGTACAACACTTTAGGGTTTCTTACTTGTACTCCTCATGCTGCTCAATACAATCATTCATTCCTCAGAATCTCACATGGTATAGAGCAGGTTCCCTAGTGGGAACGCTTCCTAAGGGCCCACCACTAAACTTTTTTCTGCCCGGAGCGCACTTCTCTCCTGCCCGAGTCGCGCCCCGTGTGCCTTCCGTGCCGTCGCGTCCCTAGCCCTTAGCGGCCCGTCGCGCCCTCCTCAGGCCCCTCGCAGCCCCTCTCACGGCCCCGTCGTTGCTGCCCTTTGCGGCCACCTCGCTGCCCTTAGCGGCCCCGTCGGCGCCCTACCGGCCCCGTCGCTGCCCTACCGGCCCCGTCGCCGCCTTACCAGCCCCACAGCCGACCCTAGCGGCCCCGCCGCCGCCCTGCCGGCCCCGTTGCCGACCCTAGCGGCCCCGTAGCCGACCCTAGCGGCCCCGTCGCCGCCCTACCGGCCCCGGCGCCGCCCCTACGCGGTCCAGTCGCCGCCCCTAGCGGCCCCGTCGCCGCCTCCCTCCCTACGCGACCCCGTGGCCTCCCCTACGTGGCCCCGTCGCCGCCCCTAGCGGCCTCGTCGCCGCCCCTAGCGGCCCCGTTGCCACCTCCCTCCCTACGGGGCCCCGTTGCCGCCCCTACGCGGCCCCGTCGCCGCCCCTAGCGGCCCCGTCGTCGCCTCCCTCCCTACGCGGCCCCATCGCCGCCCCTAAGCAGCCTTGTTGCCGCCCCTACGCGGCCCCGTCGCCGCCCCTAGCGGCCCCGTCGCCGCCCCTACGCGGCCCCGTCGCCGCCTCTAGCGGCCCCGTCGCCGCCTCCCTCCCTACGCGGCCCCGTCACCGCCCCTACGAGGCCTCGTTGCTGCCCCTAGCGGCCCCGTCGCCGCCCCTACGCGGCCCCATCGCCGCCCCTAGCGGCCGTGTCGCCGCCTCCTCCCTACGCGGCCCCGTCGCCGCCCCTACGCGGCCTCGTCGCCGCCCCTAGCGGCCCCGTCGCCGCTCCCCTCCCTACGCGGCCCGGTCACTGCCCCTAGCGGCCCCGTCACCGCCCTTACCCGGCCCGTTCGCCGTCCCTAGCGAGCAGCCGCGCCGCCGAGCCGCCGAGCAGCCGAACCGCCAAGCCGCCCAGCAGCCGAGCCGCCCCTGGCGCAGCTGCCACTTTAGCAGCCGCCCCTAGAGCAGCCGCCACTGCAGCACCCGCCCCTGGAGCAGCCGCCACTGCAGCAGCCGCTCCTGGAGCGGCCACCACTGCAGCAGCCGCCCTTGGAGCAGCTGCCACTGCAACAGCAGCCCCTGGAGTAGCCGCCCCTGCAGCAGCCGCCCCTAGAGCAGCCGCCACTACAGCAGCCGCCCCTGGAGCAGCCACCCTTGCACGAGCCGCCCCTGGAGCAGCCACCCCTGCAGCAGCCGCACCTAGAGCAGCCGCCCCTGGAGCAGCCGCACCTACAACTGCCGCCGTCGTACGCCTGCCCTTCTCGCCACTGGTGAGCACTGCCCTGCCCGTACTGCTGTTACTACTGCGCTTGCTGCTACTGCTCTTTCTACTGCTACTGTTCTCCTGGTGTGGCCAGATGCAGCTCCAGCGTCGTCCGCGTGAGTCCCTAACCCCCCACCAGCTTCGTGAGTGGTACGCTAGTTGGGGTTGTCAGGGTGGCGGTAGTGGGAGTCATCCTGGAGTGAGTAGTTCCACATCTGCTTGTAGCAGCCAGGTGCAGCTGCAGCGTCGCCCGCGTGAGTCCCTCACCCCCCAACAGCTTCGTGAGTGGTACGCTAGTTGGGGTTGTCGGGGTGGCCGTAGTGGGAGTCGTCCTGGAGTAAGTAGTTCGGCAGCTACTTGTAGTGGCGAGGTGCAGCTTAAGTGTCGTCCGCGCGTGGTCCTTTCGCCCCAGCAGCTTCGTGAGTGGTACGCTTAGAGTAGAGGGTCGCTGAGTACTGCTCGCTGTCCATACGTCATTCGCGCTGGTGCTCGGACTGGTCAGCCTTCTAAGACGCGTGGTCACGCAAAGTCCCGCTGCTTTGCCCGTCTGAGCGACGCCTGGCGTACGGAGTTTGGCGACGCGGCTGAGATCCCCGACTGGGTGGAGCTGCTTCGGCTCAGGGTAGATATCTATACTCTTGACTATGATGCTATCCTCACTGCCATGTATGCATTGCCTACTAGGGATGAGGGTGACTGTTACGTGTGTGTTCCGCCCGACCCGGGCATTGAGGCTGCTGCTCTAGGTGCTGGTAAGGCTGCTGCTCTAGGTACTAGTGCGTCTGCTGCCCCAGGTGCTGGTGAGGCTGCTGCTCTAGGTGCTAGTGCGTCTGCTGCCCCAGGTGCTGGTGAGTCTGCTCTCAGGTACCACGTCGGCTCAGGCCTTCAACACCTTCACCCTTGAATCGGGTGCTTCCCGCTCCTTCTTTCGAGACCGCACCACGCTTACGCCGCTTAGTCGGCCTGTTGCGGTCTCCCTGGCAGACCCCTCTGGGGGTCCTGTCCTTGCTTGCTTCTCCACTATCTTACCGTGTCCGGCAGCCCCCTCTGGCACCCTGTCAGGTCTCTACCTCCCCTCGTTCTCTACGAACTTGGTGAGTGGAGCTGATCTACAGGATGGGGGGGTTGACCAGTTCACGCCTGCGAGTCAGCGGGTGACCCACTGTACGTGTGCTCGGACGGGCCGACACTTGGCCACGTTTACCCGTCAGCCGGGGTCGAGCCTGTACACACTGACCACTGCGTCTCCTCGTGTTGCTAAGTCTGGCCAGGTAGCTGCGTCAAGTCAGGTGTTTGCTGCAGCGTTAAGGTCTGGTCCTGAGTCTGCGCCCTGCTCGTGTTGTCTCCTGTCCCACCAGACTCTCCTTTGGCACCACCGCCTTGGTCACCCCTCCCTGCCTCGTCTCCGAGGCATGGCCTCCCGTGTCCTTGTCTCTGGTCTCCCCCGGTCCCTCCCTCCCCTACCTCCGGGGCATGCCCGTACCTGCATCCCCTGCGTCGAGGGGCGACAGCGCGCCGCCCCTCACTCCTCCGAGTTTCCTCCGACAGAGGCTCCCTTGCAGACTCTTCACATGGACGTGTGGGGCCCCGCCCGCGTCCGTGGCCAGGTTCACGATCGTTACTTCCTGTTGGTGGTTGACGACTACTCGCGTTACACCACGGTGTTCCCCTTGCGCAGCAAGGGTGACGTCACTGAGGTGTTGATCGACTGGATCCGCGCAGCTCGTCTCCAGCTTAGAGAGAGTTTCGGCTCGGACTTTCCTGTTCTCCGTCTGCACTCTGACAGAGGCGGGGAGTTTTCCTCTGCCTGTCTGGGAGCCTTCTGCCGTGCACGAGGCATCCGCCAGACCTTCACGCTTTTGGCCTCTCCACAACAAAATGGGATTGCTGAGCGCCGCATTGGCATGGTCATGGACGTCGCTCGTACGTCCATGATCCATGCGGCTGCTCCCCATTTTCTGTGGCCGTTTGCAGTTTAGTACGCAGCGCATCAGCTCAACCTTCAGCCCCGGGTCTCCTTGCCACAGACCTCCCCCACCTTGCGGTGGATGGGGAAGGTTGGCGATGCGTCTGCGTTTCGGGTCTGGGGATCTTGGGCGTTTGTCCGCGACTTGTTTGCGAACAAGCTGTCCCCCCGTGCTGTTCCCTGCGTCTTCCTTGGCTTCCCCTCTGACGCACCTGGTTGGCAGTTTTACCACCCCACCTGTCCTCCCAGGACGTCACCTTTGACGAGTCGTTGCCTTACTACCGTCTCTTCCCATACTGCACTGCCCCCCTCCCCCCACCACCGCTCTTCCTTGCGCCAGGTCCTCCCCCGGTAGACCCCCTCCCCCCTCAGGGTCCTGCCTTGTCAGGTGTGTCCCAGGTAGACGCAATTGAGCCTGTTGAGGTTGCTGTTGACTCTGGTGCTGCTAGTAGCATTGAGCGTGTGGGTGCCAGGTCTGCCGGTGCCGGGCCTGGGTGTGCGGAGCCTGGGGGTGCTGAGTCTAGGGGTGCTGAGACTTGGGGTGCTGAGTTTGGGGGTGCTGAGCCTGGGGGTGCTGAGTCTGGGGGTGCTGAGCCTGGGGGTGCGGAGCCTGGAGGTGCGGAGCCTGGGGGTGCTGGGTCTGCTCGTTTGGCCCCTGGCGGTGCTTCATCGAGGCGGGAGCTACTCTCTCCGTAGGAGATGCGCGAGTGGTTTGCCCGGCGCTAGAGCCGTGCTGCTGCAGCTGGACTTCCTACTGTTGCTGCTGGTCTTGCAGGTGCTCGTCTTGGCGGTTCTGGAGCTGCTGGGACTGGAAGTCCTACTGGAGGTGTTGCTGGAGCTGCGGGCGGTGCTGGAGCTGACGGTCCTGCTGGAGTTGGTGCTACTGGAGCTGGAGCTGCTGGGAGTGCTGGCGCTGGTGCTTCTGAGGGTGCTGGTGTTGGCCCTGTTGGAGCTGGAGGTGCTGCTGGCGCTAGTGCTACCGTTGGGAGTACTGTAGCTATCCCTGCTGCTTCTAGAGGCGCTGCGCGGCCGCGGCCGTACTTTGCTCCGCTCCTTGAGCAGGTTCTTGGTCTCCCGCCCTCTACTGGTCCTGCTCCTCCCTTAGAGTGTCTACAGCCTGTCCAGTCGCGGTCACAGTTACAGCCCGCCTCCCCCCTGCCTGCTCCTTCTCCCTACACTGGTCCTACTGGAGGTCTTGGTGAGCGTGGTGAGCCTGCGTCTCATCCTGCGTCGCCTGTTCGTGCCGCTCGCACTAGTGGTCGTGCTCCGCGTCCGTGTCCTCATGCGGTCCCCGGCACACACCAGATGGCTCTGCGTCCTTCCACTGCTCCTCTGCGTGTCCCGTTGCCGTCTCCTCCAGAGTCCTCTCTTCCTTCTCTTGCTGACCTTAAGTCTGACTCTCTTCGTACTACCAGTCCTACTGTCATGCGTCTCCTGGGTGCTGTTGTCATTCACCCTTCTTTTGAGTCTACTGCTGCGTCTGCCTTGGTTGTTGAGCTCGTTGACTTCGCTGCTCGCTGTCGTCTAGACAACGCTGCTCGTCTTGACGCTGAGTCTGCGTCTATCTGTCCTCCGTTCGTCTGGGGTGAGTGTGCCCTTAGCACGGACGTCCTTGAGGACAGGCAGGAGGGGTTGCAGTGTTTTGCTGCTGCTTTGCCTTATCTCGTGTCCACGCTGATTGCCCTTGAGGGAGACCCGGATGCACCAGACATCCCGACTCCTCGATCGTACACTGAGGCGATCGAGGGTCCCTGCTCCTCACAGTGGTAGTCAGCCATGGATGCATAGATGGCTTCTTAGAAGTCCAGAGGCACCTACGTCGACGAGGTTCCCCCACCTGGGGCAAACATTGTCAGTGGCATGTGGATTTTCAGGGTGAAGCGGCCGCCGGGTTCTCCGCCTGTCTTCAAGGCGCGTTACGTGGCTCGAGGCTTCAGTCAACGGCAGGGATTTGACTACTTTCAGACCTTCTCCCCCACCTCGAAGATGACCACTCTTTGGGTGCTGCTATACATAGCCGCTCAGCGCGACTACGAGCTTCACTCTCTTGACTTCAGCACAACTTTCTTAAAGGGCAGCCTACACGAGGAGATCTGGCTGCGCCGCCCACCTGGCTTTACTGGGTCGTTTCCTCCTGGTACCCAGTGGAGCCTCCGGCGGCCAGTCTACGGTCTCCACCAGGCGCCCCGTGAGTGGCACGACACACTGAGGACTTCACTTGCGGCTCTTGGGTTTGCTCCTTCTACTGCCGACCCGTCGCTGTTTCTGCGCACCGACACCTCTTTGCTGCCGTTCTACATCCTCGTGTACCTCGACGACTTGGTCTTTGCCACTGCTGACACTGCTGGACTCACCTACGTGAAGTCCGAGGTGCAGAAGAGACACACGTGCACAGACCTGGGTGAACCGCGCAGCTACCTTGGCTTGCAGATCACCCGGGACAGAGCACAGCGCACCATTACCCTGACTCAGTCACACATGGTGCAGCATGTCCTTCAGCGCTTCGACTTCACGTACTGCTCGCCTCAGGCCACCCGTCTGTCTACTCGCCACTCGCTCTCAGCTCTGCCTTCCGATGAGTCCGTCGAGCCGAGTGGCCCGTACCCAAAGCTTGGTGGCTGCCTCATGTACCTGATGACCTGCACACGACCTGACCTAGCATACCCTCTTAGCATCTTGGCACGCTATGTGGCTCCTGGGAGACACCGACAAGAGCACATGGCTGCAGCGAAAAGGGTGTTGCACTACTTGTGCAGTACGTCGGGCATGGGGCTAGTGCTTGGAGGGCGACGTCCAGTGATCCTCACAGGTCACGCAGACGCTTCTTGGGCTGACGACCAGGCTACGCAGCGGTCGTCACACGATTACACCTTCAGCCTTAGTTCCGGCTCTGTCTCGTGGCGGTCTACCCGCTCGTCTTCTGTTCTTGGCTCCAGCTGTGAGGCCAAGATCTACGCAGGGGCCATGGCTGCACAGGAGCTACGCTGGCTCACCTACCTGCTGAGTGACCTAGGAGAGCCGCCTCGTTCTCCTCCAGTTCTGTACGTAGACAACAAGGCCATGCTGGCCTTGTGTCGGGAGCACAGACTGGAGCACAGAACGAAGCACATTGCTCTTCGTTACTTCCTTGCTCGTGAGCTGCAGTAGCGCGGTCAGCTCCGCCTTACCTACGTGGCCTCTGAGGCCATCACTGCTGATATCTTTACCGAGGCACTTCCGCCTTTTGATCATCAGCGCTTCTGTACTTTGCTAGGTCTTGTGCCTACTTGGCCTCACTTGCTCACCTCTTGACTTTGCTTGTACTGTGATCTATATATACCTGCACTTGCATGCTTACTCTTGCTAGGTTGAGATCACTGCCTTTCTTGTTCTTCTTGATGTATAACTCTGCATGTGAACTGACCTTGTGGCCTTGTGCTTGTGTTCAGATTGTGTGGTGACGTTGTGATCCAGCCTGGGCTTGCCGTGCTTCTCTTGAGTGGTCTTGTGACCCCTTGTTCTCCCCCACTTTTCCTATGGGGGTGTGTCGAACTATATATGCTATAGTCTGTTTAGGCTGTAGTGGGGTAGTCAATATGGGGTACAACACTTTAGGGTTTCCTACTTGTACTCCTCATGCTGCTCAATACAATCATTCATTCCTTAGAATCTCACATGCACCATCAACGTTTTTGGCGGATATGAATTATATCCTTCGACCACTGCTGGACGAGTGCGTGGTGGTGTACCTGGATGACGTTTTTATGTATTAAAAAAACATGAAGGAGTACGTGGAGCATCTATGGAAGGTGCTCGAGATCCTGCGGAAGAACAAAATCTACGTGAAGCCGTCGAAGAGCGACTTCGCCCTGAAGAAGGTGCAGTTTCTCGGGCACATGGTGAGTGCCGAGGGCGTACACATGGACCCGCGGAAGATCAAAGCCGTCAAAAAGTGGAAG